CTTTTTCCCTTTGGCTTTTTCCTTTTTTCTGTTCTCAAATTGTCTCAATTGACTAAATACAGGTCCCATCCATCCATTCTGGCGGGTATGATGTTCGAGGCCATCGTCGGCCCGCAAGTTGCTACGGCTATAGGCGGCGGCTACCCCGGGGCRTGGTCCCACTAGCAAAGAGGACCGGATCGAATGCCTGAACCTGGACGTGTTGTCGAAAGGTGCAGGATTTCGAGATTGAACTGCTTTCCTGCATCTCTGCATAAAACACGTCCACATTCAGGCATTCGATCCGATCCTCTTTGCTAATGGGACCTCGCCCCCGATATTCTTTCTCCAGACACTTTCTAATTTTAAAATACGAAAAATCGGAGACTTCTAATCTCGCTCCCTACTTCCTTTCGTCGCCTCCCTCCCACAGACGACTCAGCTCTCTCTCTCTCTCTCACACACACACACACACACACACACACACACACACACACACACACCTGTCTCTTATACACATCTAGATGTGTATAAGGAACAGGCATTGGGGAGCAGCGGCCAATTTCGCTTTCTCTCCCCCCCCCCCGCCCCCCCCAAATTGTGCTTTTGTAAAGACACGCTGGTGACGCAGCTGAATTCTTTTTTCTTTTTTTTTTCAGAAAGAGGAAGATTTCATTTCATTGCACGTAAACAGCTGGAAGGAAAAAGGAAAAAAAGAAGAGCGACCAGAAGACTACCGTCCTCTTCCGGATAGAACGCACGATCACTATAGCTGTACGTGGCTCACCTGTCGGTCTAGATACCGCGATAGTGACCGTGCACTAAATCCGGGGTTTAAGCGTTTCTGACCGTCGTTTCGGCGGACGACGGGTAGGGCAATGATTCGACTCATTTGCCGGGGTTTAAGCGTTTCTGACCGTCGATTTCTGACCGTCAATTCGGCGGAACACAGGTAGGGGCACGATTCCACTCATTTGCCGGGGTTTAAGCGTTTCTGACCGTCGATTCGGCGGAACACAGGTAAGGGGCACGATTCCACTCATTTGCCGGGGTTTAAGCGTTTCTGACCGTCGTTTCTGCCGGGGTGGTAGAAAGTCCGAAGCACTAATCGTGCCCCCGCAGCTAGTGCATGGATGGATGAGCGCCTTTTCTTCTTTTTTTCTTTTTTATATAATGGATCAGCGCCTTGCAGGATGTAGACTGACAGATGGATGGACACTATCCTTTTTTTTTGCTTTTTTTCCTTCTTTTTTTTTTTTTTTTTTTTTTTTCTGAAATGTGGCCCGATGGACCACAGATCAGATACTAAACTGATCAGAGCAGATACTACACTTGATCTTAGCCAAAAGGCGGAGAAAGCTCACGGACAGTTAGAGAGAAAAAGAAAAAGAAAAGAAGGTTGTTCTCATTGCAGTTCGATGTAAGTAGAGGAGAGATGATTCTTTGGAGGAAGGAGATGGCTGGATGAGCGCTATATTCTTCTCTCAATTTCACCTTTCACTACCTATATTCTCTCAATTTCACCTTTCACTACCTACCTGCGCCTGATCCTAGACCTATACAGGGAACCCTTGCAAGCATAGCTATTAGCTACCTCTCACAATCAAGGAGATGCATTTTGCCTCTCCCCCCCCCCCGCCCTCCCCTTCCACTGGTCAGGAAGTAGGGTGGGGCTCCTGCTGCAGGGGGCCGGTTAGTGTACAGACCAAGCATTTTGCCAGCAGCTGCGCCTCCCATCTACGTCCCTCGCCCCATCAAGTAACCGCAGTGCCACCAACCGGCCTAGCTCTTCTTTTTTTTTTTTTTTCCCTTTTTTTTTATACACCCCTGGACCCGAAACTTTGGTCGTGGAGGGACCCTGTTCACTTCCCAGACGAGGCATGGCTGACAGACTACACCGCCGCCGGAGGCTATGCCCTTCAGCAACCAGCCAGGACCCCATTATCGGTCGCAGTCAGCAGATGGAAACAAGTGACTTCATACGACAGTGTCTCCGTAAGCTCCGATATTGTTCGCTGTTGGGAGCAACTCCAATCTGCACCAATGCCCAGAGGGGCAGTTCTGCTCTGGCTACTCTCTCTATTGGTTACCCCCTCTGCAGTGTGGCTCACAGAAAGGGGGATGAAGATTCAGCTGTAATGTGGCAGATGTAGGTGGCCATTTGAGTCAACTACTCACTTGTGGCTTTCCTGTCCGCTGTCCCGTCGGATTTGGGATTGGTGGCGCACTCATTGGGACCGTATCAGCGGTTCTATTTTTCAGTGGGACGAGAAATGGATTTTGCTAGGTGGAGTACCTGAAGATCTCCCCTTACACAAGGGCTGGGGGTATGTCGCCCAGGCCCTGAGGGCCTGTCTGTTTACCGTCATCTGGGAAGTCAGGAACAGGAACGTATTTGAGGGCAGGTTCCTGGCAGACACAGTTATAAAATCAAGGGCCAAAAATCTCATCAGACAGGTCATCAAAGCTGATTGGAGGAGGACAGTCCTCACATTCTACCCAAGGACAGCGGGATTGGCTTGGTTTAATTCCACATGGACCCTGGGAGGTAAGTTGGCAAGGATTGAAGGTGGTTCATTGACTTTGGATCAGTGTTAGTAGGTCAAGAGTAAGAACCTGGACACTCGGTTTTATGCCCGCAGTAGGACGGCAGTTGTCGGTGGTTTGCGGGGTCAGGAGGGAGTGTCGCTGTCTGTACAGGAACTAGATTAAGTTCCTCCCTCCCGAGGTAGGGAGGCAGTGTTAAACTGGGCGGGAGAAGAGCAGCCCGAGTCTTCAGTTATCGGACAGTCAGACCGGGCGTGCTCAGGGTTTGGCGGATTTGTGTGCTACCAGGGGGTTGGTCCCCTGCAGGGTCGAGTCCCTGTAAGCGAAACTGGGTAACGCTCCCAGATATTTGGTCACTCCGGGTAGACTGCGAGGACCCCGGCCTCGAAGTTTTCTATTGGAAATATGAGCCTTGGGCACTGGGCCCGCGATTGATGAAAAAAAAAAAGAAGAAGAAAAAAAAAGAAAAACAGACCAGTGTTCGAACTCCACTGGAAGGAGATGAGTGAAATACTACTATTCTAAAGGACCTAGGCCGGGTCAGTCCGATGATGAAAGTAACAGCAGTGTCTATGGCCAGCATGCATCTTCATGCTCCTGTGAAAGCGGGAAGATGTATGCGTAGCGCTGCTGTATCGATACGGAGAGCCGCCTATGGATTAGCCCTCTTCAAATAAGGGGCGAAACGCCACTCTGGCTTATTTATTGATTTCATTTATATAATAATAAGGCAACTTGGGTTGGAGAGCTGTGTGATGGGTGACCGTCAACACAGAAAAACAGGAAAACAAACAAAAAAAAAAAAAAAAAAAAAACCTTCAATGGGATCAACGCCCTAAGGCTTTGGAGTTCTGTCAGGCCAATCGTGGTGATCCACGTGGCAATCAAGTGTCCTCTTTTTTTTTTTTTTTTTTTTTTTTGAAAAACATCCTTGATGCAATCAAGTGTCCCCTTCTTGTACAATGTCCGAAAACCAAGCAAAAAGTGGTAGATCGCCCCCCCCGCAGAACCTTCGCATTTCGCCCCCCCAAAACGGGGCGAGCCATAGAGTCTGCCGTGCACCGCGCCAAGTCTCACTAGCAGTTCGCTTTTAGTCCAGCGGCGTAGCTGAGTTGGTAAGGCTCGCAACTTCGCAAGTGGCATTCAGTCCTGGGCGTGCTTGGCGCCGGCCACCTTGAGATAGACCAGTGTGTCCAGTTGATGTAGCTCAGTGGTTAGAGCACCGGTTGGAAATGCGCATTGTGGTATGAGGTTGCGGGTTCAAAACTCGATTGCAGCCTCCGCATGCACACCGGCAGGGCGTTAGATTTGACGCAAGGCTGGAGACACACCCCCTTGGGCTGATGCTGGTAAGCTATTACAGACATTGCCTGCGCACCACCCAAGGGGTAGCCCATGGTTGCTATATGTCGGCTTCTACCTAGGTGGGCTGCTGGAGGACATTGGCTACTGGTTGCTCTGTTGATCTCCCCCATCATCTGTCCCCCATCATCTGTCATACAAGGTAGGCTATCCTAGTTACGTACAACAGATCCTAGTGTCATGCACATATACCCACAGTGTCACACGGTTCTTGGTACCTATACTGCCTACGGGCACACCCATATATATACCGTCAAACAACTGCACAGTCTATGGCCACTGATATACATACTGCTTACACATACAGACATATGCTACGACATAGATAGAATCTGATAGACACACCTGCATACTTAGTCTAGTAGAATAGTGTTGGGGAGACCGATCTCTGTCATGGGTTCGTTCAGGCCAGGCTGCGAGGACTCTACTCTGGTCCATGCGAACACTTGGCTGCGAATCGGTTTGTCGGTCTGGACTGATAGTGATACTGATTGTGCCTGACGTCCGAAGTCCAAGGCTTGCGTTGTGACGCCCAAACCTCACGCCCAGCACGACTTCCTGATCGGAGTAGGATGCAGGCCTGGAAGTGCGAAAAGGGGTGTGCCAAGGATTTTTGGAACAGTGGAGTCCCAGGTCAGAACTGAGATCTCCTGTGACAGGGTCTTTCGGGGGCACGAGTGCAATTTGGCGGAGAGGGCGTCTTCGGGTTACAAGGCAGGTGGTATGCGCGGGTTGCTCAAGATCGAGCGAGCCATTGGTTTCGGGGACGGTGGTTCGTGGGTGGGTCCCGTCGGGGTAGGTGGGGTTCCGATGAGTCCGCCTGTCGAGGATTGCCACGTGGCGCTGGTCGTCGCGCGTTCGGGTTAGGCCTTCGGAACTCCCGGGTTCTCCGATCGCCGCGTCGTCAGCAGTTCTCGCAGGGTGTGCTGGGCTAGTAGGGGGCTATGGCCGGCCACGGAACGACGCTGAGTTGATGGTACGGAAGAAGAAGGCGAAAGGGAGGGAAACTGGTGGTAATGACGACAAATCCCGGGTGGATGAAGTAGTAGGTATGGTCTGGAGAAGGGAAATCAGAGCATCGGGGGTCACTAGAGGTGGCGCAGTGGAATTCCCGAGGACATAGTCCATTCTCAGTGTGGCAGGGGTATCGCTGCCTTAGGATTTTGTTTATCCAAGGGGTGAAGTAATCCGGGTCGTAGGATGAGTCGGAATTCCAGGATCGTGTCATCATGTCATCGCGGTATTATGAGTCGCCTACGGGGGGGTCCGCGGTGATCGCGGTCGCTGCGTGCGAGCACGTGTAGGCCGCGCGCATGGTGTCGGACTTACGCGTGCTCGTGCAGGTCGACTGCGCCGTTGCGGATTCCAAGATGGCCATTACCAATCGGACAGGGTATCCGCGATCGATGGTCCTGATGAGTCGACGCCCGGGGATACGTGTAAGTGCGCAACTCAGATCGCGTTTTGCACTTGTCCTCGCGCGGCATTCACCGAGCCCGGCGTCCGACCGTCTAATCACTCCGTGATGTTCTGAGTATGCAAGATGCAATGATCACAAAGCAGCTCGATCCAAAGACAAGCAAACACACAGACAAAATCATCAATTGCGCAAAATTCCTATTCTACGCACGGGTGCATCGAATGCGACGGACAACGCAAGGACAAAAGATTCCCCGCAAAAGGTAAACAAGCAAGCATAGCCTCCATACATCCGCCTCCTCAGTAATCATACACATGATACCTCAGAGTCAAGGACAGAGATAAATAAAACGATCGAAACATGGCATCCATACATTCATAGTGCATCGGAGATGGGAATCGCAAAAACAAGTGTGAGCAAAAATCCAAGTCCTGGTTCCGAAAAACAGAAGGGAGAAAAAAAACGGGCGGCTCGCCCGGAACCGTATTCAAAACTTATATACACGAGACAGGGGGAAGAAAAGGCAAAAGAAACAACAACTCCGCATCCATCAACCTCTACTCTGTCTTCCTCTCTCTCTTCTTCTTCGATGCGGACAGTCCGTTGTCGCGCACCAACCCACGAAGCTGTCACCCCGCTTAGTCCTCCCGCATCCGTCAGGTTCGCCCGCGCCCACAGTCTGTCGTGGCCCGCGTCAACCCCGAGCGTTTGGCACCAGCTCATCGGGTCGCCCGACTCCTGCTCTATTCACCTCTTACTTCGCTCGTGTGTCGACCCTTCCTAATTGCACAACCCCGAGCTTCCAACAACTGGTTAAGAGTTCGCGCAGCCGGAATTTATAGCGTGCATGCATGCGCGAAGAACACGAAATCACAAGGACTTAGAAGAAGGGAAAGGGGAGGGTTTTGCCTACGTCTGCATGGTCTGATCGTGGCGTGGGGGACGTAGCCGCTCTCCACGCATTGATCCGATCATGCAGACCGCGGCTACCAAAGCGCAGCAAAAGAAAGAGAAGGAGGGCGGGAAAGACGAAGCACAAGAAGAATGATACAGTTACAATGGTGCCCGCCCAAAATTACAGTTATACACACGATTAAAGGCGCCTACTAATCAGAGTTCCGTTGCAGCCGCATGACGAAGCGTGTAGACAAAAAGCGCCGCGCGACAAGGAAAATCCTAATGACGAAATTCCTAAATTCCTATCTAATGCAAAGAAGCAAAAAGCACAAATTCCAGAAGAAAAGTCCAAAATTTCGAGAGCCATCGGGGCTCGACAAAATTCGAAAAAGATTTAAAAGAAAAAATTCAAAAAGAACGAAGCAAATTCCCGCGCGATGTCTGCGCCCAAAAGTTTGGAACCGAAACAAAAGAAACGACGTCAACATTTATTAATCCCGTGCACAGTGGCGCGCCAGCCATCTGTCCAAACCATCAATCAACCGGCCGTCCCAGGACACACCCAACTCCGAACCCAGCCATTCGAAAAGAGACAACGAAAAAGACGAAAAAGCAAGGACACTGATGCAATTTCCCACCGATCCCGATCTCTCGTAATTGGCCCAACCTTCCCAACTTAGGGCCCCTCATTGCAACCGCGCAGAAAGCCGCGCATTACAGAAAGTGGTTCGTCACATATGTGACGCCCAGGGGGTTCCAATATTAGCAAGCTCCTGCTTGCTTGTTGACACGTGTCGATTTCTCTAATCGACCGACACGCGGAGCTCTTCTTTCTATGCCACTTACCGTTCAATTGAGTGTGGACGTCTTCCAACGTGGCATGTAAGCTCTACTATTATTTCCTCAGGAAGGGTTATTGACAATCCAAGGAGGGGGGGGTTCACACCCGTCGTAGACTGACACGTGGCAGCCAACCATGCATCCGTGTAAAAAAAGGAGAGGGTAGACCCTAGACGTTCCCGGGGAATGGCAGTCGAATCGTTGAAGGTGGAGGTGGCAGATGGTTCAGGGGGAGAGAGGGCATGAATCGATTGATGGCGAGAGAGGCGAAATCAGGAAGGGTAGCGTAGTGGAAGGAGCGATGGATGGGGGGGAAGCGAGGGACCTCATGGAGGTGGCGAAAAGCGGCGATGTAGTCGGGGTAAATGGTGGAAAGGGTCTGTCGCAGGGCGGCGCAAAAATCTTCGTAGTTTTCGCAGGCGGGAATAGTTCCAGATATAATACAATATATTTCTACGTGGTTATATTCCCGCCAGTCTGCGCTAAACAGGAGCACATGGAGGAGAAAGGAATCAACCACAGAGCGGGTGGTGGCGTGCGGATAAACGGAGACTAGATGGCGGGTAGCGTAGAGATGGTAGAAAAGGTGATGGGGGAAAGGACACCAACCATCGGGGAATGGGGGTCTATCGGGAAGACGGGTAAGCATGAGGTAGTCACAGGGTCGGCGAGAGAACGACCGGGGACGAAGCTCGAACACCGAGATCTTGATGTAGACGAATGGCGGACTGGGACGGGGAGCCGGAGGAAGCTGGCGATTCACTTCTTCTTCTTCTTCTCCGCGATCCCTCTGTTGCGGTTCCATCGTCTTCTTCTTCTGGCGGCTCCGGATCATGCCACGGAACCCCGATCCTGGCGCTTCCGCTTCCTCAGTTCTTCCTCCCCTTCGTTCTTCATACTCGGCTGGCCAGATCCGCTAGCTACTCTCGTTTTTCTTTCCGGGACGTAGTCTGGATTGTCCCGCTCTTCACCCAATGGCTCCTCTTCTTCCTCCTCTTCCTCCACTCCCCCTATCTCCTCGTCCTGCGCCGCGTTTCTCCTTGCGATCGGGTCCCAAAAGGTGAGATCAGTGACGTCGATCTCCAAGTAAATTGTCTGGGAGGGGTAAAGACAATTGTCCTCGTCAATCTCCGTACACGTGGACCATACAAGGTGCGGCTCGAGCGTTCGAGACAGCACGTGGGTGCCAGGTTGCTTGTCACTGCGTGACAAGATGTCTAGGGGCAGATCGTCCGCCAGCTGAGTCAGAAACACCAGCAACTCATCCGTGATCAAGGTGAGATTGCCCTCCTCCACCTTCCCGAATACTATTCCCAGCAGATCGCCCTGCTCCGCTGTTCTCCAGGCTTGGATGATCAGAAGCTCCACGCTGTCCTCTGGGTGTTCTGGTCCTTCTCCGAACGGGGCTGCTTTTGACCAGCGGAACTCTACCTCCAATAGATAGAAGGCGAGTTCGATGTAGTCCTCCCACCACGCGTCCCACTTTTCTTCGCTCAATAGCGATGCACTGTTCTCCTTAATACGGTAGGAGTGAGTAGGGGTCCGCGCAGACTGCCAAAGGGTGGGGATGCTGGAAGGGAGGCCGAAATAGGAGACGCGATGATGACTCATTGGGGCAGTGCAAAGGGACGAAGCTCCGGAAGCACGATCGCTAGCGAGCTTCGAGATGAGCGGAGCTGGAGGTCCGTGTCATGCGCCGGCACGACGATATCTCCTCGTCGAGCCAGGGGATCTATCCACGCTGTCCGCACTTCCCCAGCCCAAGCGCGCAACGTCCGATAGATGTCGGAGTGAATCACCGACGGAATCGCTGTGATATCTCCTGTAAAGACGATGACGATGGTGATATGGCTAATCCCGGGGGGGGATAGCCGTCGGAAGGCCGAGATCTCGGCCAGAACGCGCGTAGTTGCCTCCTCCGTGAATCAGAACTCTGCCGCCGCGTAGATTGCCATCGTGCTAAAGAAAGCTGCGAACCGGAGGAGATCAGAGCAGAGATGGGGCCGCTGCACCTGCCGTATGACACTGATTCGCCCCCGCGGAGTAAGAAGCCGCGCGCCGATCACTTGCTCCGTTGCAAAGCTCATGGCGATGGTGACGGGGTAATAGAGAAAGAACAAGAAGGAGACGGAGAGACAGGAGAGAGGTAGTCGTCGCCTTCTTCCCCAGTGGAGGAGGAATCAAATGAATGCGAAGATGGAGAAGGTGGAAGGGGACGGAGGTAGGACACGTGGCGGATGATCGGGCGAGCTGATCGGCTGCCGGAGACCTCAGGCGCAAGTCGCACGGTGTTCACGCTGTTTGGTCCGAGTTCGATCACGCGAAATCGCCCGAAGAATCGTGGCGCTAGCTTACCCTGGCGAGCACATTTCCTCACTTGCACGATGTCCCCTAATTTGTATTGGGGCCGTGGGCCTGCGTTCCCATTCCAGGCCTCGTAGCTTCGGACCTGTCGTCCTTGGGCCAACTCGGTCATTCTGTGTTGTTTTCGGGTTAGCCTGGGCAGGGACCGTTCCATTAGTTCCAAGTGTCGTTTGGCCTTGTTCCGAGCCGTGGCCCTGGTGGGTTTCCGGTTCAGTGTAGATTCATCCGGGAGGCTTGGTATTGCAACGCAAGCGACGCTATTGGTCCTTAATTGGAAGGGGCTTAGCCCCGTCGATTCATGAGGTGTACCACGATGGACCGCCAGGATGTGGTCGACGATATCGGGCCAGGGCCTCGGATCCCGTGCCGTGATATTTCGTCGCAACGCTGTCTTTATCACCCTGTTCGCGTTTTCTACCAGCCCATTGGACTGTGACATGTGGGGTGCGGTGTTCCGTATGGCGACGCTATGTATGACCAGATTCCTTAGTACCTCTCCCCTAAATTCAGCACCGTTATCGGTCAGGATCTCTTCCGTATCCTGGTGCATCCCGAGAAAGCGGTTGACGTACCGCACGATTTCGGCGGCTTGTCGCGTGCGATAAGGGTAGGCCTCAATCCATTTCGAAAAGTGGTCGACAAATACCAATAGGACTGAATACTCACAACTATTAGGACCAGGGGGCACCACTATGTCGGTAGTATCTATGCTGACTCTTTGAAATGGCCGTTCAACTACCGTTGGCACTATCAATCTTGGCGGTTGAATCGATGCTTTATCGGCGGCGCAGACTTGACAGTTGGCGACGATGTACTTCACATCGCGCGGATATTGGACCATTACCACTCATTTTTGTCGATAGTCGACTCTGTGATCCGTACGGCGAAATGAGCCGCAGTTTCTTCATGTCACTGCCATCTGTTTTTCGTTTTTCTAATTTGCCCTCTATCCATCTATAGTCCCGAGCCCTCTCGTTAGCCCTCCTCCGATCTTCCTTGGTGAAATCCTGGAGGGGGTTACCCACTAAGGTGGCAATCAAGGCGATATCAGTCCATACTTCGGCCCTTCTAAACTTCCGGGTCTTTTCCAATCCTTCTGACGTGGCATCCAAAAAGCGAGCCTCGGTCGGAATCTTGTTAGTCCGACACAAGGGGCACAACCGCGGTTTACTATCGTTTCTGTATTGGATGCACGAGCCATGGGCTCGTGCGACACATTGTCGACAATCCATCCAGTCCACATACCCTTCCCCGTTAGGACGCATGGGGACCGAGTACACGCGGGATATGGCTTCACAAAAATAGCAAAACTTGTCAGTCAGGGAGAGGAGAGACGAAGAGGAGAGGGGAGAAAGAGGGGTAGTGGGGTAACCGTTACCTCCATCACCCATTGCCACCGTTCTGCTTCTTGCCACGTGGGAGAATTGCCACTTGTCTGTACTTAGGCTCGTTTGTCAAGTCCAGTTCCTTCCACGGTGTAATTTCCTCGCCCTTTGGTACTTTAGCAGGTCGATGCAGACGTGTCAGTCCGCCCGCGTTGCCGTGTCGCTCTGTCTTTCGATGAACGATATCGAAGTTGTATTCTTGTAATCGCAACGCCCAACGGCCAATCATGCTCGTCTAATTAGTGAGTTTCTTCAACGACAGCAAAGGTTCTTGATCTGTTACGAGGCGGAACTTCTGTCCGTAGAGATACGGATGGAAGAGCTGGATTCCCCAGACTACTGCATAGCATTCGCCTTGAGTTGCTGAGTCATTCCTCCGTTCGTCTGGTACCGTGCACGACGCGTACTCGATGACGTGTTCACGACCATCGTTCCCCTTCTGCGCTAGAATAGTGGAGATAGCTTTCGGTTGCTAGTTCGTGATAACAATGAACTGTTTCGAGGGGTCTGGTCGAATCAAAATAGGGGCCGTCGCCAGAGCGTCCTTGAGGGTTGCGAAAGCCTGTTGGCACTCCGCGTCCCAGCTGAGAGGCTGGTCCTTCCGTAGCAGGTTCGTTAGTGGTCGCGCAATCATGGCGAAACCCTTGATGAAGCGACGATAGTACGACGCCAACCCTAAGAAGGCTCGAACCTGCGTCAGCGACGTGGGAACTGGGGCTTCCCTTACCGCCGCAACCTTTCTTGAGTCCGACCGCAGTCCTCCACGTGTCACGACGTAGCCCAAGAACGAAATTTCCGAGAGAAAAAACTCGCTCTTCTCGAGCGCGATCTTGAACCCAGCGTCTCTCGGTGCTCCCAATGTCCACTCTATGTGTTGCGCGTGCCCGTGATAGGTCTCCGAGTAGACAAGGATATCGTCCATGTACACGATCACGCAGAAGTTGATCATCCCCTGTGTTAGCCGGGTCTTGTTGACGAAGTTCTGAAACGTCATGTTCATTGCTCGCTGAAACGTGGCAGGCGCGTTGCAAATCCCCATCGGACACCGAACCCACTGCCACGTGCCTTCAAACAACACGAAGGCCGTCTTGGGCCGATCTTCCTCCTTCACCAGAATGTGATGGAAACCATGCCGAATATCAAACTTGCTGAAATAATTAGCGCAACCAATGGCATCCAACAAATCATCAATCCGGGAGAGGGGATACATATCTTTAATCGTGATTTCATTCAACTTGCGATAATCGATGCATATGCAAATTGATCCGTTTTTCTTCGGCATTAGCACTACGGGAAATGACCATGGTCCGGTGGCCGATTCAATCCACCCGCTGGCTTCGAATTCCCGAATTCGTTCGAGAGTCTTTTTGCGCTCTATAAGAGAGTATCGGTACGGCTTACAGTGGATCGGGGAGTGATTCCCCGGCTGTATTTCGTGTTGAATGACTAACGATAGACCAATGTCAGTGTCTGTTACGCTAATCACTTCTCGATATTCCGTCAAGATGTCCACAATCAATCGATGAATCTCATCAAGTACGTACTGTGGCACGTGTAACTCAAAAAGTTGGTCCCAGATCCGTACGTCTATCTGTTTTGTGCATGTGGGTTTCGCCACATCGGGTGGGGGTGGAGAAATGAAGGAATGGTCAGATTGCCAGGAGAACACCGTGGCCATCATCTGGGCGTCTTCTTCTCGGATGGCCACGTGTCCTTCTGGGGTGATTCCGTCACAGACATCCTGCCATGGTACGGTTTTAGTTGCGATCTTTACTCCAAGTTCGTCTGAGTCAGCCTCAAGGCGCCCAGGGGGTTCCAAAGAACTGGCTTCTTCCCCCAAGCGCAACAGTCGCACTTCTTTTGCAGGTGTCAAGAGGAACCTTGGTAGATCTATAATGTCGCAGTAATGCTTTTTGTCGCTGTGTCTGGAGAGAAGCGGGGTGATCCCTTCGTACAGGGTTTGAGGGGGTTCTAGAGAATCGATCATCCTCGAAATCTGCACGAGGGGTTCACCCAAGATCATCGCCTTGGTCCTTTGAATGTTCCGACTGGTCAGATGCATCGTTCTGGGTGGCGGGTAGTAAACACGCTGTTGTGCTAGCTTCGAGATTTCTAGATCGTCCTCATCACTGCTGTCCGTATCATTCGTTGATGACTCCCCATCTGCGGATTCATCCCAGGAGATCATACGGAAAATCCCTGCCATCATCGACGAAACCCGTGGGACCACGTTGATGGTGGTACGAAGGGTTAGTCTCATAGGCACAGCATAGGGCTTTCCTCCCGTATTTCGAAGGACGATCGATCGTTGTTCGAAATCCAGGTTCGCTCGTAACGCCACAAGAGCAGGAAGTCCGAAAAGAACGTCGTAGGTATTTACATCTAGCACGACGACGTCTCCCAGTGCGTGCACCTTCCCCAATCAAAAAGCGACGTTGGTCATCCTTCCCACTGATTTTTTTTTTTTTTCGCCGGTCGAAACCTATGTATCCCCGGCGGCCGCGGTCACCACGGGTATGACTGCGGCCCATGTGGTCGACCGTTGGCCCGTGGTCATGACCACGGCGGCCGCGGTCGAAAAACGGTCGCCGCGGGCAGGGGAGGGGGGCTACCCGAAGTCGGGGTCGGGATTCCGGGGGCGCACCCCAGGCCCCACCCGCCTACATTGAAAAAAAAGAAAAGACTTAAAAATGGGGGGGTCCATTTTAGGGGGGGGGAGAAAAATAATGGACCCCCTTTCATTGTTTTTTTTTTTACTTTTTTTTTCCGTTGTATTGAACCATCGCGAAGTTTTGTATTGTTTTTTTTTTTTTGGGGGG